TGGGTAGTAATTAATTAGAGTCTCACACAGACAATTCCCTTTTCTTTTGTTTGGGATCATTAGTGAACAGAATGGCACCTGCCAAAACCTCCCGGTTTTCCATCCACAAGGCTTCTGTGTCTTTCCAGTTTGGCTCTTCTTGAAAGGCAGCTATTTTTTGGTCCTTTTGGTGTTGCTGGGGCTGGGTGCCAGCACTGCAGAGCTCTGCTGTGAGAGCCACAGCGCTGCCACCACGTCCTTGTCAACTGCAGCATCTGGGCACCGGGTCAGCACTGAAACCCCAGAGTTTGATTGCGGCACGTTGGAAAAATCTGGATGCATGCAACGGCCTATGGACTTAATTTAAACCCTGGTAAAAGAAATTCCTATTGCTTTCCCAGCAGAACGAGGACTGGAAGAATGGGATCCTTCCTCTTGCAGAAATTCGCACCAGAAACCTACACTTTAATTATCTTTTCTGCAACAGAGAACACATAATGTGGAACATCCACAGCAAAATCACAGTTTGGGTAATGACTTGAAGGATGTATCACTCACTTCTGTGCTTTAAAATTATGGAATCCTGGGTTGCAAAGGACCTTAAAGGTCATCTAGTTCCAAGTCCCTGACATAAAAGCAGTTTTGTGTTACTATCATAAAACCCTGACTAAGGGGGCACACTGAGAGTTAATGGAGAACAACAGCAAGTAAGTCCCTGTGACCCAGAGAGATGCAGGGATACCTTGTTAGTGATAGTGGTACTTTACTGCAGTAAAACTAAAATAAAGTGGGACAATAAAAGCAACTGTTTTGTATAGTACAGTATAACTTAAATAATAATATTTGAGTATTATAATATTTGCATATATGTATTCAAATAGCTATAAAAACTCCCTCCAGAAGTGCATCATACTGAAGTATTTATTACAGACAACCTCAGCAGCCTCCAAAAATCAATACTCCTCCCCCAGCACACCAATGTTTGGGTTAGATCATGGATTTTTATAGAAGGACACACAAAAGGAGTGTGTCCTGTTCCTGCCTGCCCATCCCCAGCCATCCATCGGCTTCCCAGTTCCAAGCAGGTTCCCCAGGAGGTGATCAGGGTGAGCCCAGCAGTGGGTGATGCAGAGTGGGGAGGCAGGTGAAGATTTCAGGCCTTGCCCATGGAGATGTCATGGAGATGGTGGCTATAAAAAAAATACCTAAAGGGGTAATTTTGTTGTTTCTGTGTTTATTTAAAAACCAAAAAACCCCCACCAGCCTACATCAACACACCTGTGTATCCCTTGGGAAAAACCCCAACTTTCCATGTGTTCACTGCTCACCTCCATTGCTCTCTCCCCATCCAGTGTCCAGCTGCAAAGCCCACTTGCATCACAGGACTTCTCCCCAGGTGTCCCAAAATAAGTGATCCATTGATCATTCACACTTCTCAGGGCAGGGGTGGCACCCAGGCTGGCCATGCCTGGTCTGTCCCCTGGGCTCTGAAGTCCCTGCAGGAAAGATTAAAGGGTGGGGACATGGTGGGGTCCTTCCCCATGAGCTGGGAAGGGGAGGTGGGGACATCCCATCCCGAGGGACTTGGTGGCTTTTCAGGGCACTCAAAGGCTTCATGTTGCCATTTCAGTCCCAGATCATCCTGAACTGCGACTGTGGGGAGCAGGAGCTGCTCACAGCGATGCCTCAGCTCTCTCCAAATAACAGGAACACCTTGCAGTGCCTCAGCACAGGAAAATCCTCCTCAAATTCAGGTGGGAAATGTCAAGCCTGGAGCAGACTCCGAGCAGTTCGTGCTGTGCCAGCAGCACCAGTGGAGGAGGATTTGGGCAGGAAATCTGCTCTTCCATCAGTTACTGCTACACCTGCCCACATGGACACAGCAGGACCAGGTGTGTGTGCAACAAATGAGCCAGATCAGAGAATCCCAGAGTCATTCAGGTTGGAAAAGACCCTTAAGATCATCCAGCCAAGCAAAAGCAGGGACACCTGCCCCTGATCCTCTGAGCTCTCCCTGTGCCCAGCTGCACAGTGTGGGGCACTGCAGGACAACAGGATCTCACGCTTCCAGAGCGAGCTGAAAGAAATGTTTATCAGGCAGCAGCTCTAGGCTCCTCAGGTCCAGCCCTGCAAAGTGAAACTCTAAGGATTTTCCCAAATTAATAAAAAAAACCCATGCTGATGAGTGAGTTTTCCAGTGGGAAACCCTAGGGTAGGACTGGCTCCCACGCCAGGTGATGGCTCACTGTGACAGGCAAACATCTGCTCACCAGTGACATCCACTGACAGAGGAGACCCCATCAGACCAGAAGTGAAGATGAAGGGCATCAGCTGAAACCCATTTTGTCCCCAGCAACCCTGCTCCTCCGATGCAGATCCCAGCATGACCCTGTTCCCTACTTTCTCCCTGTTTCTTGGCAGGGACTTCCCAGGTCTCCTGCCAAGAGAGGCAGCAAGCACTGACTCCCAGCTCTGTTCCACTCCAGTTTCAAGGACAGCTCCTGCTACAAAGCTCCTTCCAGCTCCTTCCTCTGTCCCTTAGGTCCCACGGACAGTTGTTTTGAAATGAGTAGGAGATCCTATACTGACCACAACAAAAATCACCTTACCTTCCAAAGCTACCTTTGCCCAGGCACTGCATCTTCCCATCTCTGTCCCTCCCACGATATTTTGCTCCTGCCTCAAACACGTGTAGTGGCTGCACTGTGGCACAAGGAGCTGGCTGGAAACACAGAACAAACCCCTGTGATCCAGCACAGGAAGGACTCAGCTATGTTACACAAATAAACAGACCTGGAGTTGAGGTGGAAAATAACAAGATAACTTGTCCCAGCTCCTCATTTCCTCTCCCAAAGGCAGCTGCTGTCTGCAGGAGCGGCCGGAGCTGAAGCCGTAACCGGAGCCAGGGCAAGGCAGACACAGCAGATGGTGGGTTCAGAATATGCAGATTTTGGCTTTATAAGAGAGCAGAGAGAGGTGAAGAGAGGGATCGAATGTCCGTTTGATCCGGATGAAAATGCCAGACCGAGAAGCAGTTTCAGGAATTATTTATTGGATAAACTGGTACAGCTGTGACCTCAGCTGTGGGTCGGGACCTGGGTTCACCTGCATGACCAGGAACCTCGGGAAGGGATTCTGTCACTTGGTTCTACAGTAATTACACTGAAAATCTCTTTTTGCTGAGGCAGAAGAGACCAGCTCACATTTGCTGCATTTCCTACATCCACAGCAGGATTTTTGTAGAGCAGATGAATTTGTTTTCCTAAGGAGCAACACTTGGTCTGGCCATTTGGAAACACCATGGGATGGCAGTGGGAGGACAGGCTGGACTCCCAAAAGTGGTGCTACCACCATCCATTGAGGGAAGACCCTGTGCACTTCTCCTAACACAGCAATTCCTGAGCACAGCTGCAGGCACAGTCCTGCATGACAGGGACAGATTAACTCCTGCATTTTCCCATGTTCCCAGAAAAGCCTTCCCTGGTTCCTCCAGCTGATCCTTCCCATGGCTAATGTTACTCCCGTCCTTACAGAGTTACTGGGTAAGGACTGTGTGCACTAAAATCAATGTGAGCTTTTCATGTCTTGAGAAAGATGATCTTCAAACACAACTAAATTATTTTTCTGGACACTCACCTCCCATATCTTCACACTCCAGGGGATGTTGGATCTGATGGACAAACCACTTGGAGTGGCAGAGCCCAACAGCTGGGCCTATTCCCAGGACCTTGGAGTTGTGCTGTATCAAGTTCCCATGCCAGCAGGAGGGAATTCCTTCTCTCAGATAAATCCTAAGTCAGCATTCCCCTGGGTGCTCATCACAGCTTTACCCCTGGAATGCTGCAGGAACCTGCAGGTTCGTCCCACAGCCTCCAACCATAGTGACAGCAAGTTTTGGGGTCCCCAACACAAAACATCTTTTAATCCCTCACCACACACAATATTTTTGAAAACAAAATATCAGATCTGTATCACAGTCAACATCAGAAACGAAGCAGCCCACAAGAGCCAGGTCAGCAGCTTGTCCAAAAAAACAGCAGCTGGGTTTTGTGTTAACCTGGGCTTAATAAATTTACACTCGCTTTGGTTTTCACTGTTGTCGCTTGGTTTTGCCCTTTTGGTTTTGCCTCTGTTAAGTTTTACAGAGATTTAGCTTTGGAATATACAATAAATTCATCCTTCTTAGCTCCTCAAAATAGTTCTCTGAAAAGGCACATGTACAAAAATATTTACCAACTATGAAGTAAAAAAACACCCAGATTTGGCTTGCAAATAGGTGTGGGCTTTTTTACCTGTCTATCCCAGAAAATACAGCCAGGATGCAAGACCTGATTTTCCTCTCACCTGGAGCTTTCCCACTGAGTGGAGTAGGGCCATGGAGGCCAACTGACTTCTCCAAGATCTGATTTTCCTCCCACCTGGAGATTTCCAGCTGAGTGGAGCAGGGTTGTGGAGGCAAACTGACTTCTCCAAGTCTATACAGACAGGTTAGCTCACATAAGATCAAAAATACAGGTTCCTCGGATCAAATTCCTGTCTTTTCTACTGCAGAATCTTAGGAAAGCGGTTGGGAGGGATGCCGGCTTTATGGTATTACCATTTGTACTGGAATCTTGTGTTCAACAACAAAAGTGTTTAACTTCCAACCATCAGTTTATCCAGGTAACACCCACAATTAATGGAAACTCGAGAATTTTTATTCTCTTCCTCTTCTTGAGGCTTCCCTGAGCCTTTCACTGCTTGACCCTTCCTTCCAAACACATCCAGCTCAACTCAGCCTGTAGCACTTGGTGTCACAAGTCATTCCTAGTGAAATGGCACATTCAAGCTTTCCTACCCCAAACCACCTCCTATATAAATGTTTCAGTCTACATATCAGGTCACTCCTTGCTCCCTCATCCTCGGGATCCCCAGGTGAACCCTAAAACCAGAACAAGCTCTTTGAGTGCAGTTTGAGGAGACACATCACTCCTAAACAGAGAGAAGATGTGTGTGTGAGTCTGTGCTGCCAACACACCCTTGAGGAGTATATGAGAATTTCCCAAAGCCTCTCACCCCAATGTCTACAGCACCCAATCCGATTTCAAGTTCAATTCTTCACTGGAGTTCTCAGATATAACACCTCTAACAGGCACCACCAATAGGTAACCTGGTACCTGAGGTAACCTGGACAATCAGATCTCTAAGGAAAGGCCTCACATTTGAAAATTAGGTCAAGGAATGGAATTTTGTCCTCCTAAAATCCTGGCACTTAAACACAGAACCCAGCTCCAAAAGAGCTCCTGGAGGAAGTCAGGAGAGGGAAAAACAGGGGAATGCATCAACACCTAAAAAACCACTAGGAGTCTCAAATTATGGTGTGATGACAGCAGAGTTTTTCTCTGTGGCCTCCTTTCCCTTGGCAGCAGCCATCCCAAACTGCGGCACATATGGCACCAGGGCTTTGGGCTTGAGGCTACTTTGGACAAACCCACGGACATCCGTCGGTGTGTGCTGGAGGTCCCCTGTGTCTGTGAGCAGATCCCTTGTATGGAACTGACACAGCACCCCAGAACTTCCTGTTAGAAAAATATCATTTTCTCTTTTTTCCAATGGTGTTATCCCAAGGTAACACAGGCTCCGCTCAGGACTGTCCGTGAAAGCGTCGTCGTGGTCGGAAGGCTCTGAAAACCCCTCTGAAGAGATAAGGGAGAGGGTCTTGCTGGGCTGCCTGCCAGGTGAGCCAGGGAACACCAGGAACACTCCACTTCCCACCTCCCAAGTGCTACTGGAGAAGGCACCTGAAACTGTGGAATCTTCTGCTAAGAAGCACCGATCAAAACAACTGCTTGGACTCATTTTCCGCTCGCAAAGCCCATCAGATCGGGAGTTGCCAGTGACAGTCGCGTATTTGAGGTCGACTCCTCCACTGCCCTGCTCCTCCTGGGAGCTCTGGGAGGAACTGCTGCTGTTGAAGTGGCTGCTTGAGCAAGCAGAGTCATGTTCAGAGTCTTGGGCATTTGGAAACGTGGAAGCAATTCCTAAAAAATCTTGCGTGTCTTCCTTTTCTGAGGCTTTGGTGACACTGATGTCTTCCAGCACTATCTCTGCATCCAGGAGAGGCTCAAATGATGTGGCTTCGGGGTGCTTGATAAAAAGATGCTCAAAAGTTTCAGGCTGGAAGAAAAGAGATATTTTTATGCTCATCTCTTGCTTAAAAGCTTTACTGCAGTATCAAGATAGTGATTTTATGGATCACAGAACCAAACACCCGAGTGCATTCCCAGGGCACTCTCAGGACCTTGGAGTTTTGCCACATCAAGTTTCTACATTGTTTTTCAAGAGTATATTGTTGAAAATCCTCTATAATATATTTCCTCAACAGATTTAATCATTTATATGGCAGCTGAAGTAACTTCGCCTGCTAGGATTGTATTATTCAGGGTCAACTTCAGCCTGTCTGTATTTTTGGAACATCTCCGTCTAAGCAGCAGCTCTATGTTTTTGGTGAAGAGAAACACCTTTTCTTGGGAGAAATATAGCATTTACTACTACCTAATATAGGTGTGTGTAAAATATACAGCAGGATGAACTGACAGCAACACCAGCATTCTTGAGAGCTACAAAGGAAAACTCATTTGAAAAACAAGTATTTCCTAATGAATTCAGGACAAAACAGACTAAAACCAGGTTTTATGTATATCAACAAACCATACTTTACAGCAGGGAAGCTGCCAAAACAATGAGGAACATGTCAAAATACTCAGAGGAATGTGGAATTATAGCAAAGAGTGTACAGCTCCTGCATCTTGGCCTTCTGCTCACTCCAAACTCACTATCGGTGTTGCCTCGGCCCTCGCGTGACAGGACCAATTTCTGGTGACTTCAGTACTTGTCCCACATAAGTTCATCACCAAAATTAACAGGAGGCTTTCGAACAAACAAAAAACCTTGTCTCCCCCTCATACACCTGCTCTCCTAAGGCAGGTGGTTTATCCTGAACACAGGTGTTTATATCCCTTCCCTCATCCCAGCCCCCAGAATCCGCTCTCTGGGGCACCACAGCAAACACAGATGGAGTTGCCCACAGGGATTAAACCCATCCCATCCAAGGACCAGGGGTGCTGTGTGGCAAAGGCCACCATCTGTCAGCTCTGACACATCACTCATTAAAGCCTGTCAGACATTTATCAAATACAATGCATAATCCAGTGTCCTGGGAAATGGAATCCTCTGGAGTATCAGCCAGGACACAGCTGGATTTCCACAGGAGATGCATGTATGGCATGAGCTAGGCACAAACTGCATTAAACAGCAGGCAAAGGAGCTCCGTAAAACTCAGGAGAAAAGTCAGTCTCAGGTCACCAGCTCCCAGACTTTGCTGACCAGATGGAACTAGATCCAAACCCACAGGGAATCTCAAGCATGGCCCTTAGATGCTCTTTTGCAATTGCCAGACCTAAATTTGGATTATTGTCTCAGTGATGATATCCTGGGACCAGGAGAAACTTTGCTGGTGCAAACTAAGGTGCATAAACCTTACACCCACGGGATTCTACAACTGATTCACTAATTGCTCTAAAATTTAAACATTCAAAAGAGGTCTTGGGGTCTGGTCCTGGTACTTTTCCAGCTCTTAGCTCTCTGTATTGCTGACTCCAGAGGCTTTGAGTTCTTCCTTCAGAAGAAGTTTGGCAGGGTCTAGCCCAACCCATAGGTAGAGCCCAGTCCTGAACTCACAGGAGCCAGAACCCCTGGGTTGGGAGCAGCAGCATCTCCAGGGAAATACACACCTGCTGAAAATTAACTCCTTGTGCCCACGAGCAATTCTTGGGGTTCGGAACATCCTCCCAAAGCAGCTTCTTCATTCTGAAATGTCAGATAAATGCTGGAGTTGGTACTGTTGTCATAGGGGCTGTACTGTACAGAAAAGGAATCTGTGCAATTTTATTTATCCAGACCACTACGACCATGAAACATTCATGTTAGATATTATAGATGGCTGAAATTTAATGCAAAATATAAAGAAATAAAGAAATGACATACCAGCTGGCAGTTCTGCAAGTTATCAAAGGTACAGACGGTCTGTGCTGGATGACCCCAACCCACCAATGCCTGAAGGGGCTTCAAGAGATGTGGAGAGAGACTTTGGACAAGGGCCTGGAGGGACAGGACAAGGGGGAATGGCTTCCCACTGCAAGAGGGCAGGGATAGTTGGGATATTGGGAAGAATTCTTCGCTGGTGAGGCCCTGGCACAGTCTGCCCAGAGAAGCTGTGGCTGCCCCATCCCTGGAGGTGTCCAAGGCCAGGTTGGACGGGGCTTGGAGCAACCTGGGCTAGTGGAAGGTATCCCTGGCCATGGCAGGGGGTGGAACTGGAAGAGCTTTAAGGTCCCTCCCAATCTAAACCAGTCCGGAATTCTGTGAAACCAGTCCAGCAGACTGGGACCAGTGAAGCTGCAACATCTGTGCTTTTAGATGACAACAAAAAATGTACCTTTGGTGTGAAACCAGCAACACTCCCAGCAACAAAACTGAGGTTGAAATAACTATCGGCAGAACCACGGAGAGGCTGCCATTATTCTCATTTTCAAATCCACCTGGAAATAAAGGAGTTCAGATATTAATGCAGAAAAATAATTTGTCTGCAAGCAAATAGTTTCCAATAGGGAAATAACACACAGTAGAAACAACTGCTTAGATGGGAAAAAGCCTCAATAAACAGTGTCATTGCAAATCAACAAACCTTTCCCTTGAGAATAAACAGACAAAAAGGAAAGAATTATTTGAAATAGGAATTTAGTCTCTCACTGAACTCATCCCACAGAGTTTTCAAATTAAAACTACTGAAGTCTGTTTGTAGTTACATTACAATTGCTTCATTACTGACATTTTTTTCTGGTAAGACAGAGACTTTTGCATTTAAAGGTCACTTTTACAAGCCCCTATTTCATAAAAGACACGGAGAAAGATCCTGTCAGTCACCTTTGCTGAACTGATCCGTTGCTCTGGCTCTGCCAACTCCTCCAGCAAACACAGGGTACAGACTGAACTGGTACTTCTCAATCAGAATAAAGTAATCTGGAAAGAGGAAATCAGCCTTTTGAATCCAAAATATTATCCAACTTTTAGACAATTCCCTCCACAGAGGCTCTGGTCACAGATCAGAGTTCAGATCAACCCAGAGAAGGCAATAAGGAAAATCATCCTTTATAGATCCCTAGTTTAATATCACAAGATTAAAACTATTAATCCATCCTGGATAATCCAGCATTATTCTGTCACGGAATTAACACTTTCATGGTGCTACTGTAAAAACTTCCAAGTTTAAAGCCAAAATGCAAATGAAAAGCACATACTAAATTAATTAGTTGCTGTACTCAATATTCCAGAACTAATTTTATTGTATTGCCACAAAGTGAACACACTCCTGAGCCTCACTCTGTTAATCTGGTTATTAAAACAGTCAATCCTCTAATGATCATCAAAAATCGGTCTGTTGGTCCTTATCATGAAAGGTATTAGAAATAAAAGGGGAGTAAAATAGGGCTCCAAAAGCTCAGCAAAATGACATATTATGTGTTATATTTTCAAGTGCACACTCACCATAAATGTAATATTTACTCATATTTGGAGGAACTCGCACCCATTTCGTCTCCTCTTCTTTGTTAAGGTTCTTCCACTCAATAACAAAGGATGTTATCACATAGATTTGGGGTGAGAGAGTCCAGACCATGACGACACAGGTGCTGTTCACGGGGTAAGCGCTCAGCGACCGCACGGCATCCACTGAGGGAACAGGGGAACAGCCACCATCAACATCCCATAAACTACACAGCACTGCTAAATTTCAGCACTTTAACGCTTGTTTAACTATCTCCTGCCTGATCTTCAGTTCACATCAGCAGAGATGTTTCTCTCTAAGCTCAGTTTACACCAACCAGTCCCAAACATTAAATAGATCAAGTTTCTTACAGACATCAAATATCCCGTTTCTCACATGCAACTACTTACAAAAAATCATCAGCAAATACTGAACTGTGAGGAATAAACACAGCAGAGAGCAGCCAAATCCATGAATTGCTGCTCAGGAAGTCAAGCCAAACCTCTGAGAACTCTGCACCCTGGCAGCCCGTCAGGTGAGCAGCCAGAAACCCAACCACACTTCATTTTGGAAACAACAAAACATTCCCCAGCAGGAATGTTGGGTGTTCCCAAGACAAAGTAGATGAAAAATTAGTTCTACAGTAGGATTTCACTTTTCTTTGTTTAATTACTTTATATGCTGTTAGAAGGGAAGTCAGCCCAGTGACAGAGAACTCTTTTCCCAACCCAAGACCATAAAGATTTTCATACAATGGAAATTTCAGGTTTCAGATAGCTCTCTTGGTGTTGAATGTATCACCATAGAACATTTCTTATTCTGACAGAGGGAATTTTATTATAAAGAAAGAGCATCACAAGGATTCCTTGTGATACCCAAAATGGCTGCTCATCGTTGTTCTTACCTGTGCTCATTTGCTGTGAGAGGGTCAAATTAAAATTAACTGAAGAAACTCCAATGGAATTCATGGCTAAAACTGTGATGGTGTGAGTGTGCTCCGTCCATGGAAAAGACCAAGTGGTGCCATGATCAACATATTCCACCCAGGAGGTGTTCCCTGGTGTCTCGTGCTTTATGATGTATCGGCTCACGCTGCACAACGAGTGGTTCCTCATCAGCGGCTGTGGCAAACATGGGCATTAAGTCATTTCCCCGGCTCTGATTTCCAAAGCAAATGTTATTTGGGCAGCTCCAATTTTAAGAAAATATGATCCAATATATATATATATATTCTGTAGCCTGGCTCCTGTCCTTCTAGCCAAGTCACTGGAGTCCATACAAAGACTTAATTCCTTCTGTGCCTCTCTGAGAGCTGACACTTAATCCCTCTCTTCCAGAACAAGGAAAGACAAACTTTTAGATTCCTACAGTAATTCACTCTTTCACACATTTTTCAGGGTTCAAAACCCAGAGCAGCCAACTGAACACAACATGGGCAAACAGGAGTGAGCAGGCACTGAGGGACTTTTTCCTCTGTCCTGCATCAGCCTTCAAAATCCAAGAAGGAAAAACCATCTCCAACCAAATGCCAGTATTACAAGCAGTATTCACCAGGATTATACAGATCCCAAGTCCCATAGGCAGTGACTGCCTGAGTCTGCCTCACAGGGAAGCATGTGCTTGTCAGACTCCCTTTTTGGCATTTCTTCCCATTTTTTGGATCAAAGTGAAATGCAGCTGCTCTCACCTTCCACACGAGCGTAACATTCTTCTGCCTCCCTGCTGGATCTTCGGTAATGATTCTCCAAAATTCAGGGCCTTGCAAGGGAGCTGCAAAATGACAGTTTGGAAGAACAGTGTCACTCCTCAGTCTGGAAAACACCAGCACAGATCCCAAAGTGCCCCTGAAGGGACCCAGACCTCTGATGTCCTGCACAAGTGTTTGGGCTGATCCACTCCAGTCGCTCCAGTACCCAGATCCATCCAGCTCCCTGCACCGCACCTGGACAATGTACTCCACACAGAGCTGCTCAACTTCGATCACAGCTGAGCTGCTTGGGGTGTTTGAGACTTCACAGAGCTGTGACAGAAAGTTAAAAAAATGTAAAATAGAGCAAAAGGCTGTTTAGGCAGCTCTTGGAGTCAAAACCCCTGAAAATTAATCCAAAGAGAAAGTGGGATAACCAGTAATATTCCTTTGCTAGATACTGCAAATGCTTATGCCTGTGATTTCTTCCATGCCATACATTCCACATAAACCAGTTACACACTAAATGACAACACTGCAGTGATTCCTGCTCCAATTCGGACTAAAAAACACAGTACCTCCCATGGAATCTCTTCCCTGTTCACTGCATACCGGATCTGGAATTTCAGATCACTGTTTGTAAACACAGGGTTTGTCCAGCTCACGTTCAGCAGCCCCACATCCCTGGTGAGTTCTGCTCTGATATTGGAAGGGGGAAGCGGCTTCACTGGAAAATTGGAAGAGAAAAAAATGAACTGTAATATCTGCACTGACATTTCTCATTAAATCCAATCATGATGGATTACTTTTTCCTCATCCTGGGGGTAGCAGGTAACATGTTGTGGCCTCTGCAGTTCCAAGGAAAGCAGGACTGTGCTGCAAACGCATAATCCCTGGGCATGTTTCCTTGTGTTTCATTTTAATTTCAGGCACAACAAATTATTTTGGTGCTGGCATTTGGCACCTGCCCTGGGACAAACAGCTAAAGACGTTCACATTTCTGTCCAAAAAATATCCAGTGAACGCTCTGAGTCACAGAACAGATTATAAAGTGTGATTTGCACACTTTTGAGTTTTTGAAAGCACTCAAACACTGCCCCTGCCTCTTGATTTATACAAATTTAAGTGCTGTGTGTGTCACAAAAGAAACTTTGCATAAGCATGAATGAGCATGAACAGTCCTCACGATTTTAAATTAATATATAACTGTGTAAATAATACACACAGTGCTCCACTTATCAAAATAGAAACTAATTGAAGACATATTAGGCATGAAAAGTTAGATAAACCAAAAATTACCTAATTAAAATCAAGTTGCCTTTTTCAATATAACACTTGTATTTTGTGTAGGGAAAATAAACACGCATGAACAGGATATTAAATTTTACAGGCATTAGGTGCAGTTACAATCTGCTCCTGTGCCAAGCAAAATGTATGGAAATAACACGTAATCCAAGGCAATATCAAATTTTTTATGTTCTTTAAGTTATATTAAATGCTGTGGAAAACTTTAACTACACCATCCAAGAACTGAAATCCAAAGTCAGAGATGTGCATGAACCTCAACCTACCCACATCTGCTGGAATGACACAGGCTGGGGAGGATTCAAGTGTTCCTAGGAAGTGCTTGAACTCTATCCACAGGGTATATCCAGATAAAAGGAAAATAGGCTGAAATGTGCACTCGTAGGAATGATTCTTCTGCAAATGGCATTCTTTCACCTCTGATTCTGGAGATGGGCTTGGAAAGTCAGAACAATAAATTTGGCTCCTTAAAAGAGAAAAAAAAACCACATTCAGTTGATACATTGCAATTCTGAGCTGCTCATGGCAACAACAAAATAGAAGTCTGGAGGTAATTAAAACAAATAGTGTCACTGGAACCATCCTGGGGGGTTTGATGATTATTTGGGCAGATCTTGAACTTCAATCTGCACTAAATGGCTAAACAGCACTGCAGTGTCACTCCTCAAAGCTTTGGCTCTTTGCCTGGAAAAAGCAGGACACGAAGGCTCTCCCCAGTGCAAAATGTTTTGATAGGAGACTAATGACAAGAAGAAACAGGTACAGCAAGAGCAGCTCCACAAACTCATCAATCATGTGATTTGAGGTGTTAGCAATAAACACAGCAAGGCAGATCTCCTGCCAAGAGTTCACTCCAGTCGGGAATGATTTCCAAAATACCAACTGGAAATCAGGGGAAAGCTTCCACACAGACCAATCAGGCATTACAGTGAGGTCTCCAGGAGATGGAAATCCCATAAAATACCAGTTCTGGAGGCTGCTTTTAAAATAGGGTTATCACATCTGGCGACAGAAGAGAGGACACTGACTTCTGGATAAAATGGCCCTGGATAACTTGTTGGAAATGGAACGTTTTCAAATTTCTCCTAAGCTTGTGCACAGCTCAGACTTATGGTGAGAGGGGCCAGAGAGGGTATTAGTTACTCAGCTGAACCACAAGAGTTACACTTGGTTGAATCTCTCCTCTTCCTGTCCTGTTTAATACTGATTAAAGCAGTGCCTCGTGCTTTGGAGGTTTGGTTTGGCATTCCCTGCTCTCCCAGAATGATCCTTTTGGAGTTGTTTCTGTTGGCAGCACTGACTGTAGAGGAAGATGTAGTAACAACCCAAGCAAAACAAAATCCCAGCAGCCAAACCGTCACACACATCACTGCAGGGCTGCATTTCAGCTGCAAAATCTCACAGCAGCACTAACTCAGAAGATTTCTTTTTTTTATTTTCCCCTCTTTCAGATCTTACTATGAGCAAACAACCAAAAAAAACCAACAAAAAAAAAGAAAAAAGAACAAAAAGAAGGATCACAGTAAGCACCAGCATTTGGGAAGGATTTGCAGGCAGTGTTGAAGTCACTCTTTGATCTAGCAGGAACACTGACAAATGTACAGATTATCACCTCCTACTAGAAAATAACATTTTTAGCTAAACCTGAACAGTGAAAAGGTGGGAATAAAAAACATGGCAAGAGTAGCATAGGTTTTATTCCAAGCTCCCTGCCCAGCAGTACATTCATTATAGTCATAGTTGTGAAGACAGTTTAAACAAAACCTACCTTAGCAGTCAGCCAGTCACTAATCCTGCCTGAAAAGCCTTCACTTGAAATTTCAAGCGTTCCAGTTATTGCTTTAGTCCAGAAAACCCTGAGAAATATTCACCTGGGTACAGGATCCTTCAAAACTTCAGTCTACCTCCAACAGAGAAGACAGTCTGTCTTTCCAAAGGATTAGGCCCTCATTAGTTTGCCAAAATTTCTGCATATCCAGTCCAACAGAGCAGGAAGATTGGAAATTTTTTTCCTCAGGAAGGGTTGTCTGTCTGTCTGTCTTGTTTATATAAAGACTAAAGTGGTTCTAGGAAACTCTCAAACTCAAAGGATCAGTAATTCAAAGGGATTCTTTAGTTTCATGGTAAAACAATACTACCAGGAGCAAGGTTTGTGCAGATGAATGAACATAAGGGTGATGGTACCACTGATTTCATAATCAGGTTTGTATTTTGCAAATAATAATGTGTTTGCTCCACCCACATCCCAGTTCTCCTGCTCTATCTAAAAGACAGACAAAATTAAACTATTTGAAAACCAAACATTGGGAAAACTGAGAACTCCTCACCTCTGGGAGTGTTCAAGGCCAGGTTGGACGGGGCTTTGGAGCCACCTGGTCTAGTGGAAAGAGCCCTTGCCCATGGCAGGGGGTTGGAATGAGATGAGTTTTGAGGTCCCTTCAAACCCAAACCATTCTGGCGTTCTAGGTTTCTATGAATTGCTGTAGTCAAAGATGCAACATCCCCTTCGTGAACTAAGATTTGATTCTCTAAGCAAGATTTTTTCCATCTGGAATTAATTTATTTCATCCTCTATTTTTAACTGTCTGCACATAGAAAAAAAGATAACAGAATTATAGAAAAATCAAAGAAAATCAGAGACTGAATGGAGACCTCAAGAGGCCCCACGTCCTACACCCAGCTCAGAGCAGAGCTAAATTCAAAGACAGATGGAGTTGCCCAGGGTCCCATCCAGTCAGGATCTGAGAGTCTCCAGGGACAGAGATTCTCCAGCCCCCCAGGCTACTGCTCCAGTGCTCAGACACTCTGGGAATGGGCTTTTTCTCTTTTTCTTTACAATTTTTTAATATGAGCAACCAGAACAATTTTTATAACAGACTCAAGCAAACTACTTGAAGAGAGCTGGCTCCCAAAGCACATCTACAGTTTTGAAAATGCTGAAAAACACAAATAGGATGTATGTTACCTACTCAGGTATCTGTGGTTCCCTTCTACACACACAGTTATACCTTTGGAGTTCCAGTTGGGAAGAAATCCAGCTTACAGAAACTGGAATTTTCTGATTGCACGTATTCAGAATTCTTTCCTGGGACAGTATTTTGAGCAATGCTTTCCTATCATAAAGAGAGAATTAAAAGCTCTACATACCTGTAGTATCTTAACTGCAAGGAACTCCCAGGGAGCAACATGTTTGGGTTTGCAGACCAACTGCAAGTCATTTTAGTCAAGTATCCATCTGTTTCACAGGTGATATTAATATTCATATCTAATTAAAAACACATTGAAAGCTTGTTAATAAAGATACAATGATTTATACAAAGAACAATGCTCAATAAAAGCTCTTGGAGTTCAAACGGAAATATTCTGACCTTACTATTAAAATGCACCAAAAGGAGAATTTAAAATCCAGCTGGAATCTTACCTACTACATATAATTCAGCGTATCTAGGATGACATTCCCTACTTTGGTGACAACAGTACAATGTGTCATAGAAGAAACTTCCTCTAGGTTTGGTTGCTTTCAAGTTGAAAAGAGTAACTTTGCTTACGCGATCGCTCACAAGGGTATAAAGACTGGCTGGGATTTCTTCTGCTAAATTCAGCCACCAAACAACCTCCTGGGGCTCTACAATCTTGCTTTTGTTTTTATAGATGCAGTGAAATGAAACATTAGAACCAGCACTGGTCAGGATCTGAGGAGGGAAGTACAGGACTTCAGCTGCACAAAAGGGAAGAGAGGGGAAAAAAGGCTGTTGAGACCAGAAACTGAACAAAAAGAAAACATAAAAGCATAGAAAATAGCAATTACAATTATTATTATTATCATCATCATCCAGTTGTACTTCTAACTTCTTAATCACTGTTAGCAACTACAGTGCAGAGGAGCAGAAATTATCCTTGGACTGTCTCTCTCCATAACTCATGTTTGTAAATTCTGATGAAAATAAACTTTAATATCCCTGGGCAAACATGAATGAAATGAGCAGAAAATCACTGGAGGGTACAGTAGAAGCAACACACAGCAGCACAAAGGAAACATAAGGAAATTAATCAATCTTCCCAGGAGTTGCTGCTCCTGCTCCTACTCAAGTCAGCAGATTAAAGTCTCAAAAACTTGTTTTACAATCTCAGCAGTGTAATTAACACCAAATGGTGGCAGTGGTACAAAAATTCACTCGGGCACACAGACACTGCATTTCCCAAGGATGTAAAGATGCACAAGCTGAGCCTCCATCAGTCAGGGACTCCGGGGAGGTACAGGTGTTGAACACCTGCTGGAATGGAGCAGTTTGCCAAAGATCATCCCAAAGCCAGCATGAAAATCCTTAAAAGGTCAGGTTTACTTTCCACAGTTGAGGAACCACTTCAGAGATTTACAGAATTTCCCCAAAATACAGGCCAGCTCAGAGAGCAGAGCGCGTTTAGGATACTGTCACTGTCAAGGCTTTTCATGTTAAATATGAATCAGAATGTGAGGCTGGTCAGCTGTACAAAACCAGAACTCCCTGCATGAAGAAATTAACCCCTCTCTGCTGCCATCAGGTTGTCACACTGGGATTATTCTGCCGATGAGACGTATTTTTAATACAATTACATATCCCATAAATGAGATTAATAAAAAATAACAGTAACTACTGCACCTCTTTTAAATCTGTATTTCTCAGTACAGCCATAAACCTTTTCTGAAAGTATCAGTATATACATATGTGAGAGAAAATGTGTATTCACCCCTAAAAAATTCTCAAAGTTATGCAGTTCTATACATAGACACACTTTTTTTTTTTAAAATTTATATATCTATATATAGATCTATAGATGTAAAGCCAAAACATTAAGGGTCAGTTAGGCCTCTAGACCTATAATCAGGCATCCTGTGTATCATGTTTATTTGCCATGAGGGTCTGTGTATTTTCAGTTTTCCTGGGAAAAAGCTCTATTTCCAAAGTCTAGTTCTTTCCTTAGTACTTGGTTTAAGCACACACATAACATGTTTAGCCACAGTAAGAGGGTCCATGTAAGGGCTCGGGCAGAGCACTAGTTCTGGCATGGAATGGGTCAGAGGATTCCTGTGACAGCACAGACCAAACCATCTCCAGTTAATCCTAAACAAAGCATGAAAAAATCCAACAAAAAACCCAGAAAGGCAGTTTGTGTGCAGCATTACACACCTAAGGGGGTTGTTAAATGTACACTGAACTGTGTTCTGGGTGTTCAGTTCATCTTCAAAGTGAGAGAAAGCATGAGAAGAAAAATCTAGTCCTGGGTAGAGGTTCAGAGCTGCCAACTGTCTTTTGAAATGGAAAAACTCTTGGAAAAAGCTTTTCCTGGGTCTGAACAGCTGCTGGGTGAGCAAGGCACAGACATGGAGGTGTCTGCACATGCACTGCCACTGCAGTCTGCACATGTTATCCAGGACTTCTAATGCAAGTCAGGCATGGAGAAAAGAGCTGAGCCTCAGGCAAAGCCAGGCACGAAGAGGAGCAGAAGGGGAAAGGGCTGACACAGGATTTTTCAGCCCATAATGCCCTCAAATACTCATTCCACAAACCAAACAAACTGGGACAACTGTTCTGTTCCAAAAGACTACTAACTGCATGTGACCTACCTCCCAAACTGAGATCATATGGGGTGCTCCAGTCACTCCAGAACCCCAGACCCTGGTGATTCCTGCACCTCACTTGAACCAAGGAAGAGGAACCAAGTAGGGTGTTGTCAATGGCCAGTGAGGCTTCCAGAGCAACTTGAACCATCTGTTAGATCATCACCAGCCATTATTGTTGCATAATGAAATGGGAAAAGAGAAAGACACAGAGGGAACCAAAATAATTAGTCAAGAGAGTAGTTTTTAGGTAGCAAATTGAGTAAAAAAGCTTTCTTCTTTAAATTTACTGTGAATTTGATTCTGGTAGAAGTTGCATAACTCTGTGGAAAACAAGTTATTTCATTATGGATTGCTAATTAATGGCTGCTTTTTATTTCAGAGTCAGTTGTGTGGTAAAAAAAACAACTCACTAATAAAATCTATAAATATTAAACATACACACATGCATCATAGAATTTGGGGGTTGATGAAAGAAAAAGGCTTTGCCTTCAGGCTTCACAGAATCTAAGATTTCATCCAAACAGAAAGATGGGAGTTTGTTGTAAGACCCAACAGGAAATGGGCCTTTCATCCCTGTGCAATGGCTTTTTACAGATGTGAAGTGCAGCTTTCCCAGCTCAGGGAAAGGCAGCCATGCCCAGCTCCACCATACCTGCCATGTTCCTCAACCCACCAGAGCCTCTACCCAAGGACAAGGAGGGTTGTGAGGAATCCTGGGCTCTGGGAGAGCCCCCTGACCTGCACTGCTTCATGGGAAAACCCTGGGAAATCCAAAAACATGGAGCTGCCTCACCTGCCAAGCGCTGTGCCCTGGCTTTGCAGAGATCCTCACTTGGTACTGCAGAGGGTACGGCAGCAGTGCAGGGTCAGACCAGCACATCTTCACCTCACCTCCCTCTGTCACTTCCAGGTGCAGGTTCAAAGGAGGTTCAGGCTTTACTGCAGACAAATTCATTGGTAAGTTCAGCTCCAACCTCACTGTCTGTAACTGCTGGGTTTTACTGAGCCACAACTCTCTCTCATACCTTCTCTTTAAACTCCGTTTTCAAGAGCTGCTCTACAGCTGCTGTGACACTGATGTTGTGTAGTATCACTGGAAAAGTGTGCCCTGGCACTCTTATATAGGTGGTGATCACAAAGTGCTGTTTCACCTCCTGTTTGCCTTAAATCTACATGAATTCCTTGCCTTGGGCCATGACTTTCCCCAAGCACTGACTCACCTGCCTGGCTGAAAAGAGGGGATGGGTAAGAGAGGGATGGGAGAGCTGAGCACGTCAATTTACTCCTTAAAAGACAGGAGACAACCTCCTCATACAAAAACTTTTTAAATATTCCCATCCTTCCACAGTGATTCTGGCTCTGAAAGAAAGTCTCCAGGAGAGCTACCTTAGGGCAAAGTAAAAATGAAGGGTTTGGAAATTTCCCACAAGGATGAAGAGGACTCTCTGGAGAGGGGAATGGATGGGCACTTGAGAATGAGCACTAGGACTGCAGTCACACTTCCTCAGACAAAGCCAAGGACCCCAGACCCTACTGCCATGTGTTTCTCAGACCTTTACAGATCAGCAGTCTTTTGGTTGGCCTTGTCCTCATTCACAGAGTTTCTCTGTTACAAAACACTGCAGGGTGAGCAGCACGTGCAAAGCTGAAAACACTCCCAAAACATTCCCATTGGGCAGTGGGGATATGTTCCCTTCCAGTTCCATCTGCACTGAGTCTCCAGCTCTCCAAATTGTCTCATCTAAGCAGTATCACTGGAATCTCACTCAGTTATACCAAAAACCTGTTGTTATTTTCAGTACAAATTCAATCCATTAAGTCAGATCTTATTTAGTTATTACTTATAAACCATCTTAAAGCAATTAAATTCATGAAGCCCAGCAGGGAGTGATTTGGGAGGAGGCAGAGCTTTGAAAACCAAAGTCAGAGGCTTTTACATCACACTCTCATGAATCAGATCACACTTTCTGAACACAGATAATGATGTCTGTTCTGCTGATGCCACCTGCTCTACTATAAGCAAATAAAATCCACATTACACAAGCATTCAGAGTTTCACATTCAAAATAATTTTAATTGAGCTAAATCTTGGCAGAACATATACTAATATTATGCATTTTTAAAACATACTTCACTAAGCAGAACTAAGTAATTATGTCATTTTAAATACTGGCAGACTCGAGTTTGAATTTTTAATTTTTTCCTGTAGCATAATTTAAAAGCAGCAGGATGAAAAATGCAACCTTTCCTCTTCAAAACAAGCTTACCCAGAGACTTTGTACTGATTCTGTCTGCAAAGCACATCAGTTAGGAAGAAGCTATAAAACTCATAAGTTTTTAAATTAATAAGAAGTTTATAAAACTTCAATTCCACACAAACACACACACACACAGCTGACAGACTCCTTGCCTTTATGGAATTCACCCAAATCTGCAATAATTGGGCATACTGGACAGCAACACATATCAAATCCATAATGTCAGTATAGTTTAACTTGATCAAACACAGAGGAATGTTTTCCAGCTTGGACAGTGCTGGTGTTGAGTGTGTAAGGAAGGGAAGCAGCAGGACCACAGAGCTGGTTGGGAAGAGAGGTGGGTTTATTTGTTAAGTAATTTTTGGAGCAGCTTTCTTCTCCCCTCAGTTTTTAAGTCCTCAGCCACATGGACAGAAAAGCTCCATCAGAGCCCCACAGTGAGACACAGAGAGGCCCCAATTAGAAAGGAAAGAATTAGAAATAACAAGTACATTGACTGCCTGGCCTCTGCTCACTTTGGTTTGTACTGGAGCCCAGACAGGCATTAGGAGCTGAGAAATCTCAGGAAGCCTTTTCCTGTCCTGTCTGTGCCCTCCTTTTCCAGGAGAGACATCCTGCTGCTGTTGCCCATTAAAAGAAATCGAAAATATAGGTCATACTCACCTATGTCAATTGGTTTGACTGACAACAAAGGTGACCACAGAGGTGTCACACCAACCAGCATCTTCAGCCACATGATGTAGGTGTGGTTGAGCCTCAGAGAGGGCACGAGACACTCACATGTGTCACCCTCAGTGCAGTCACACTGAGTAACCCTCACAGTCCCCTGGAGAGAGCTGGTGGACACATCTCCCAGGGACAGCTCCGAGCTACAGAGGGGGAAACAAACCATGAACCAAAACAAACCATACACCAAAACAAAGCAGTATTTTTTCTTTATCTCAAGATGTCTGTCCATCTGGATATGGTTTATTTACAAAAAAAAAAATATTAATTGATGAAAAAAGTAAAAATTGTAACTAATGGCTTTGACTTTGCTGCTTCTCCCTTTCCAAATGGTTTCCAAGTAAAGCAGTTAACAAGATTTCATTAAAAGTGTTCCTAAGGCTTAGCTTTAAAACAAATGTGTTACAACACTAGATGATACCTGTAGTTTACTCAACTAGCTCCTGATTCTTGAAGGTCTCATTCCTAGATCCTTCTTAAGCACAGAAAGTCAGTTTACCTTCCCGTGGACTAACTGGCAGCTCCCTGCACTCTCCCCCTCGAGATTATGTTCTAATTCCTCTTCATGAGGCACTGAAATAATATTGCAACAATTTCATATTCCTTCCAGCTTCTGCTACAATTAAACATTACAAGTAAAGATACAATCATGGAATGGTTTGGGTGGGGAGGGATCTCAAAGCCCATCCAGTTCCACCCCCTGCCATGAACAGGGGCACCTTCCACTATTCCAGGCTGCTCCAACCTGGCCTTGGACACTTCCAGGGATGGGGCAGCCACAGCTTCTCTGGGCAACCTGTGCCAGGGCCTCACCACCCTCACAGCCAGGAATTCCTTCCCAATATCCCATCTAAACCTACTCTCCTTGGAACCAGCAGTTCCCAAAGTATTCTTTATTCTCATTTCTAATCCATAGATATTCTTCAGGCTCTTCCAAACACAGCTCCACATTTATGGAGTCCTGCAGGTATTCAGTGGCACAGGCTTCCCTAAGGTAGGGAATTTTAGAGTGTGAATAGTTGGTGGCCAAACTTCCCACAGCAGCAAAGCCAAGACAAATCCTGACAGTTAAACCACCTTGGATTCTTTCCTGCTTTTGACTTTTCATCCTTAAAAAAAAAAAAAAAAGCTTCTGTTTTGAATTGTTCCAAAGTAATTTTTGGAATAATTTCTGTACAGTAAGGGTTTTGTTTTACTAATTCACAGAAAGAAATTGAAGTTCAGAGAAAAGAACCTTTCTGTACATTTTTTAAATAGTTTTATAGCTGGTATGACTCATTGGAACACTTGAATTCAGGGAGGGCAGAGAACTAAAAGAAAGGACAAGATTTTCTGTGCTTTTTTTGGTTTTAGTCAATTTGCTATCTAGTACTTTTATTTGAGTGTAGAGCACAGGGGACTGGGCATGATTCACTGCTGCTGTTACCATCCCCTGCCCTACTTAAAGAGGAAAAGGTCAAACCCAGAAGAATTATGGATTATGGGAAGAGAACCTTTAAAGAACAGATTGGGACTGCAGGAACCCCACTGGGGTCACTCCTGGCTCATCTTGAGTCAGGGCCTCACCCCCTCATCCTGCACTGATCAACACACACGGTGCATCCCCCTTGGGATTAGGATATTCTGAGGCTGGAAGGAAGGATTTGTAGCACCACTCTGCCCTCCTAGCACTGTGCTCTGCAGGAACCACCCCACAAGCTCTGCAAGTTCCTATGAAGATGCAGTTTATGTTTATTAATGCTCCAGCCAGCCAATACTGACATTCCTAAAATCATTTTCACCAGGGCTCACAGGCTTCAGGACACAAGAATTATGCTGATGGTATCTGGCAGACATAGAGCTTCTAAATTACTTGGAATTACTTTGTTTTTGTAGTTGTGGCTCCACTTTTTTCTCCCGAGTTCTCTTTCAAAGCCTTTGCAGAATTTTCTTTTAAGTTCCCCTGCTTTCTACTGTTTCTCACTGATTTTATTAGTCTCAAAAAAAAGCCACAATCGGTCCAAAAGAATGTAGTCTTTCCATCAAACCATGTCTTTGGTCTGACCTATTTGGAAAGTGGTTACTACCACCCCACCCCCTAATCTTTCTAATCATTATTTCAATTTTTAACCATCAAAATGAACTTATTTGCACCCTGAAAATGGTGTACAGGAGGAAAAATGGTAAAGAGTTTTTCTCTTTACTATGCCAGTGTCAGTGCCACTGACTCATCGACCCTCACAAGTTCAGGAGAGGTCAGTGCCCTCACACAGGAGAACCAGAGGAGAAATTTGGGGCAGACTTCAAACAAGTCAAAGGTAGCATGACTTTCAGCTGGAAACATGGGACTAAAGCATAAGAAGGAAAACAAATACTGCATGCCCTGAACCACAGAAATAATTAATACTGCCCAAGGCTTGCTTTTCTCCTCCACTCCAAACCCTATCACAGATTTAGTCACCACCTTAATACCTCCTAAATATTTTATATTTTGGTGCACTATTCAACTCTACTTCAGAAGGTGATGTTACTTATGCTACATTAATCTGTGGCCCCGTGGTGACCTTTGAGACTTTAAATGTCTTGACTGAATTTCAATCGAGTTCTTGAAACTGGAAAAACAAACTGAAAATAAAAAGTCAAAATTATTTTAGGAAGAGATACATGAACTTCTACAGTCCCTCTAATTTCAGGAAAGGTACATCCCATGCAGAAAGCTATGAAATAAAGGTACTGTTGTAATTCTGCTCTCAGTACATCTATATATGTTTGTACAAGCACCACCTTTATTAGGAATCAGTGGAGCTGTCCAGGGTTCAAGGATTTTCCATAAAACTATTCCAGTGAATTTGATACATAACAGCTCCAGAAGAATCCTTCATTGAGCAAGCTGCTCTGTCAAACTGGAGAACACCTGATGGCTCCTGAGCTCATAGGAGGATAAATCTCTGATGAAAGGTTGATATCCTCTGGCTGAAGAAGGCTCGGTGTATGACTGATGCACTCAACTGACACCAGTCTTGAGGCAAATTGGATGGCTTATCCTTCAAAAATATGGAAGTCCCAGAACTAAAGGAGAGCCCCACAGGTACTTCAAACAAGTCAGAAATATGAACGTGCTTTATGCACCACCATCTGCTGAAAGGGCAAGTGATAATCAGTTCTCCAAATGAAGCTGGGAACATTCATCTGTGTCACCCCAAAGGGATCCCCCTAAGGCTAAGGCATTTCAGCTCATGGAATTAACCACTGGGGTTTACGACATTCCTAGGAAGATCAGTCACTTTTCATAGACAACTAATCTCAATTATCTCATTTGGAATTATCTTTTCTCTCCCAAAGCCAAACCAAGCGGAAGGTGAAGCTCCATCATCACCTTTGCTTGAGCCTCTCCCAGAATATGGCACTGGTTTGGGCAGAACAAAACATTTCTATTCCAATGACACCATTTACAGGTGGAAAACTGCTGATGTGTAAAATAAGAGGATATTTCTTTAATGCTGAAAAAGATAAAAGCTGGGAAGGACTCAAGCTTTTTTGTTGTGGATTCTTCTAGGTCATTATTTTTGTGCATTGCCTGTCCTGTATGTGAGAATTCTGGCTTGGTCTCCTGACTCCCAGGGAGAAACACATGCCAGGAATGCATATTTTTAAAACTGGGCATGTTTTCAAGGTATTTTGGCTCATGTGAATAAAATGTTAAGGTATCAGCAAGCCAACAGGGAAAGCTGTCACCTTACCAAAGTCTGAAATGCTTTCCTAGCTGCTCCCCCAGCATGCAGGGACCCCAAAGGAAAAATATAAATACAGAACCTGGAGAGTAAACAAGTTCTCTAATGTCAGGGACTGCTCTGTATCTCACCTTTGCAGCAAAGAGGAATCAAACAGAGGAAGGCTAGGAGGACTCTGGTGAGTCCTTAGGGCCTACTCTCCTTAATTACATGGCACTTACTGAATTCCCTTCATAACATAAAGAACCTCTTCATCCCAGCTGAGACTCCAATCTGCTGTTCCATGGATGTTTGGCATACCAAAAAAATTCACTACAGAGATTAGTGCCCTGGGAGCACTGGCAAAGATTATCGTATTGCAGTTGGGACTGGATGGCAAAGTCAGATTTATTCCCATAAACATCCGTGTAATGGTATTTCAGAAATCAAAGTAATGAAGAACCCACTTAATCACAACCTGATTTCAGCTTTAGAGTATTCTGTCAGCTAACCAACCATATTTATTCCTAGTTAATACATTTGCTTTCTACTCTGACTACTAGGATGATTTGTGGCAAGACATTTGTGGTGAGGCACTGTTTTGTTAAGTAAAAGACATCACCTGTAAATTCAGTTAAATCAACTATTTAAGTTTATCCTGCTTCCTAAAGAAATTAACTGCCTGTGTTTATGCCATTCCTTCCAACCCATCAGTAATTCACAAAAAACAGTGTGGTTTTATGGAATTACACAGATCTCTTTGTAACCTAATCAGGTAGTTCATATAGATAAGACCTGCCCACCCCACAGCCAGGGCTATTCCATCTATCACCATTCCAGGGAATATTTACCACAGTGGCAGCTGCTCAGGTGAGTGTCTCTCAGAGGCACTGTTGGGATTAAAGTAGCATTTGGCACTGCATTACGTGTTAAGAACCAAAATTACTTCAAGAGAGACAATATTATGGTCAAAAGCAAATAAAAGGCAGAACCAAGAAGGTAGCCTTAAAACTAAACAATTGTAGCAGCAAAGAAACTTTAACAACTCAACACTGGTTTCACTGAAGGATTGTAAGAAACACAGAGGACACAAAAGAGGAAGACTCTTCATTCCAACCATTTCTCATTCAAAGAAACCCAAATTTTCCATAATGTCCAAGATTACTTTTAGACAAGACAAAGGTACATAAGATAACCTGCTTGCTAAACTCAGGCTACCACTGTGCTGCAACCTGAAATGCTGATATTTTAGAAAATGCTTTCAGATTTCCAATTACAATAGTGCTAAATTTAACAGAGTCTGTACTTACCCAGCATATAAAAGATTAACCTTCAAGTCCTCTCTCAAGTGCAACCTCAAAACCTGCAGGTTACAAACCAACAGGTCCAGCTTGCCTTTAATCCAGCATTCCATGTTCCAGTTTGAATCTAAACAAAAGAAAGGGATTACCTATTCCTGACCTATATTAAAACAAAATAAAACCACAACTGAAGAGCCCGGATAAAATTCACTCACAACGAGAGGACAAGTGACAGATATTCATGAAGGTGAGGCAGCACCACAAATGTGCAAACGTTTATGAATAATCTGTATTGAATCAGGTGCCCTTAAACACTTGCAAGGCTCGCAGTCTGTGGTACTGCAGCACTGGCATTATTAAAGAAGGAATGTTTTTTACCTGGCTTTATGGACAAGGCTGCAGGGTGGAGAAAAATGAAGCTGCTGCTTCTGCTGGTTGCTGTGTTGCTGTTGTGAAGGGGGACAGCTCTTTGTGGCTGTGCTGTGGGTTTGTGCACATACAACTGCAACACGTGTGACAGACTTTGTTAACAGAGAGTCTTTTGTTCCATGGGGAAGTTCTTGGAAAATGAAATTCTACTCTACTGAGCTCAGTGAGATTCCTGCAGGCCAGTATGTTCCTCAGAGACTGAGGTTTACAGGAGGAGAAAAACAGCCTTGGAAAAAAATAATTCTCATCCATGTACAGATATTTACTAAAGCATCACAATTCATGTAGAAATTATGCCATTTGCTCTCCATCTTCCCCACCTCCTAAACGATTTTAAAGCCCATATCCATAAAAAATATATAAAATATTTCTCATAGTGTGTAAACTCCTTTGAAGTTCTGGGCTTACATCCTCATATACAGTGCTTCATATTTTATTCAGAACTCTGCTAGAAAGGCAGCTAACTTTTTTTTCCCCTTTGAAACTGTGCTCTACAATTTCCTTCATCTTCCACCACAGACCTCTGTGAGGAAGGATTTTACCACACTGTGTTGTGTGCTCAGGATAAATGTGAATCCCCACTAATACAATCAAGCCCTCTCCTCCCAAACAGCAAAAAAACCCAATCTTCTTTTGAAGAAGGAACTTCTTCTGCCCTTGAATGCTAAACCCACCTATTTCCTGAGAAGCAGAGATATTTATTTCTGAAGGAATAAACTTCCTTGCCTGCAGGCTTGCTCTGTACAAAGAACAATCAATGTTGTTGTCACTCCAAAAGCAACACAGGAAACTTTCTTCATTCATTCCAGGCTTGATTTCAGATGTCCCACGATGGTCTCTCCTCAAACCAGACCAACTCTCAACTCCAGCAGAGAATGGGTTCAAAAATGTCTCGTTCAGCAGCACACAGGGTAATGTAAAGTTCCTGGGAGGAACTGGATGGACCACACAATGGGCAACTGCCATTTGAAGAAAGTCTGCAAATATAAAGGCAAAGATATTGGAAATAAACAAAAAAGTCTATCTTGTCAGTGAAAAGAGAGCGGTTTGTGTTATACAGAAACACACAACATAAAAATCAGGCTGTTTTTAGGGGCTATTCTATGAATTGCTGACACAGTTACTAAAAATATGCCCTCTGAACTGGTGCCACAGCTGACAGATGTCAGCCTTTCCTCCCAAACTCACTACACCTAACCTCTGGATTTCTCAGCCTCTTGAAATAAGGCCAAGATTGTAGATTAAGAACTTCTTTGGGTTCAAATGCCTTATATTAATCCAAAACACAGTGAATCCTAAACCCAAGTTCACACGCTTTACAGGTATGAGTCTCATCTCCCCTGCAGTGTTGGAACACATTCACTCCAGCTCTTAGAACACAGCTCCATTTCTGTAGGAAAAAAAAAAATCCTGTTGTAAATATAAGACATGATCACACTGTAACTGTTAAATACCAAAGGAGAGTGTTACAAGAATGTATGACTGGGTGCATTATCTGGGAAATGAGATGCAGAAAAAGAACAATTTTTTCCATCAGATCCTTCAAAATGAAATTGCTCTGACCTCATTTGCAGCTCTTGTTGTAAGTCAGAACTTGAATTCCACTCCCGAGGATTTTGAGAATGATGAGAGTGTGGGTTTTGGAGACAGCTTACTGTAAAACACTGTGATTTCAAAGATTAAACCCTAGTTACAGAAAGGCATGTGGGTCATTTGTGCACTTTGCACTTAGCTGTTTGCTCAGTAAGGGCATAAATATTTTAAGCAGTTCATTAGACAGAAATTAATTGATGCTCTATGCTTGCAAGGGCCAAAATAAGAAAAAAACGTAATTTCTCTAGCACTGTTTGATTAATAGCACAGAAACATGAGCTAAATAATATAAAAGTACAAAAGTTTTTCAAAAAGGTAGGTGCAGTGTGTTATTATGCAGAGTGTTAAAGTCTTCAGTTTTCTCTCTCCACAGATTTTGTGCTGCCTCACTCCTGGAGGCTCCTGCTCTTTCCTTCTCTCCCAGTTAACAGAGTTTGTGCCCCTGTAAATAGCAGCTTCAACAGGCCTCCTGGCTGCCTGGGGAGGATGCACTTGAGCAAACAGAGTCTTAGTCCCTAATACATGATTAAAAAAGGACAAACAAGTGACATGAAGCAGGACAGACAACCAATGCACCACCCAATTCACAGCCCGTCAGCTCCTCTTCTAAGGAACAACTTCCCCCTCACATATCACACCCCAGGGGATTAATTAAACCTTATCAAGTCAAAATGTGTGCAGCTCCTTCCCACTTCTTTAGAAATGTAAAAAATAACGTTAAAATGACCCAGAGGAAGCCCAGAACAGCAGCATATCTGGGGTAACAGGGCTAAAGATGCCAGCCTTGGTTATCTGCTTATGGCCAACCCAGGGATACACTGATTTTCAGTCATTACAGGCCATCAGAGAGTGACAAACTGCTTGGAAGCCTCATGAGAATTCCCTGAGGCATCCAAGTTTGCCAATTAAAGGTACACAATATGTTTAGATTACGTAAGGTATTCAAAAGAATGTCAACAATGTATATGTATTTTAAAAAGGTATATAAAAAAGATACAGAAATCTAGTGATTTATTCATCTTTTCTAAGGACATAAGATGACACAAATTTTGAGATTAACTTCACTGGATTAGAGTTTGCTTTCTCCCTAAGCATCATCATCAAAAGTCTTTAAATAGTTCTTATTTTAATAAAAAAAATGAAAGGCAAATACCAGCTGTCCCTGAACAGCATCTGCCAATATTGTTACAGACATTTCCCAGTTAGGAAACCAGTTTATTAAATCCAACATTTGCAGTTAATTGAGCACCCTTTAACAGCCCAGAGCCTATGGAAGCAGGAACGTCAGACTCCTAAAAAGGCAGAGCTCAGACTCAGAGTGACACCTTGGTTACATTGAGAAACTTTGCAGTTCTGGTGGAAAAGGGATCTTTCTTTATGCTTTTGGACCTATTTGGGTAACAAAACAAATCACTCACAAATTTCTATCTTATGAAATTCTGACTGGGGCATTTACTTGAATATGTCTTGACTTACCACATATTTTCTACTGATGTTTCCTGAGCTCAAAAGTCAGCTCACTGTTTTTTTTGGGGTAAGAGGCACAGGTACAACCCTAAGAGGGTCAATACTTTAATTCCACACAATGACAACATCAAGTTCTTTGTATATTCTAGATGCATGTTGTGATAAGATGCCAATCCAGGAGCATGACTTGAGACACTACTTTGAAACAGGAATGGGATTACTCTTTATTCTACACAACTTCCAACAGACTGATTTTTTAGTAACTTACCCAACAGCACAAGCACGGTCAGAATGATTTGCCAATGCATCTTGTTCTGTAGAGATGATCTGAAAAACATGCAGAAAATTAACTGAGAGCTGACAATTACCAGTCTATTATTTCATTAGGGTTTCATTTTGGTGCATTTCATTTCATTTGATACTCACACCTTTGTAAACAGAATCACAGAATCCCAGGCTGGTTTGGGTTGGAAGGGACCTTGAAGATCATCTTGTTCCACCCCATGCCATGGGCAGGGACACCTTCCACCAGACCAGGGAAAGGAAGAACAGGCCAGAAAGGAAAAACAAAATCAGAATGTCATTTGAGGAAAAAAACTTTGCTTAGAATACCAATTAAACACAAATACAGCTCTTTCATCATTAGGGCCCTCACTCCTCCAGGCTTTTGCTGATCACCTTCTGGGTTTGGTCTGAAAGGCACTACAAACCCAAACAACCAAAATGTCCCAGGGATACCCAATTTTCCAAGTGCAGCATAGAGAAAAGCACTTGGGCACCCATTTCAACAGTGAAGACTTCACTAAATTTTACAGTACTATTTTAATATTGTTCTTTCATTTCAGGTACTTCGGTCTTTTTTATGTTCATCCAATAGTTATATAAATTCTGTTAAAATCTAAATATAAGCATTTTTATGCTTAAAGCTCCATAGAGGATACCAGAATAAAGCAGAGTTTGGCTGCTGTTGTATTTAACCAGAACTGAGTGAGTAAAATCTACAGCTCAAGTCAGACAGCAAATGCCAGGACAAGAAATTATATTGAGGGAATCCCTCCAAAGTATTCCATTCCTTAAATATTTCTGAAAACAGTTTCCTTGAGAACATCAATGTAGCCAAAAGAGTCAGTGCCAGGGTTATGTAATCCACTGGCCTTCCAGTATAGCACTGCATGTTATATATATATATAAAAATAATATACTGGTGTATATTATCTGTAGATATACAGACAACTGAGCAGTGAAGTGACAGTATTCCAGAATTCTTGATTCTTGTCTCCCCACAAGAAAAACCCTTGCAAATTCAGCTGGAGCCAGAGCTGAGCCATTTCTCCAGCACAGACCATCTGCACTGTGGTCTGCAAATGACTCAGTCCCATCCACTTTCCTTCCCACTCACCAGGTTACAATCAGGGTACATTTAAGCTACATTTTCAGCAGTTAAAGAGGACAGCTCAAATTTTCCCAACCCCTTCAGAGGACAATTTGCCTCTCAGCACAGTTGTCAGGTGGACCTGTACCTCTTCCATTAGACTGTTCCTAACAGGAAAGCCATGAAAGCCAGAGGAATGCCTTGGCTCCAGCCTGCTGTCAAATCTGTCATTTCACAAAGATACAGGCAGAGACTATTTCCAAAACGCTGTAATTGAAGTTACTCAGATTTTCTCCAAATTTCTGAGAGAAGAGAAAAAAACCCTCTAAAAATAGTTTACTTGACATAAATGCACATAATTCATACTACTAAATGGTTTAACAAGAAACAGTCCATATCCCTCTTTCACAGGTGCAACAAAAATTCCCTGTTTGTAGCTCAGCCACTTCTCAGCAGGAAACTGACACAAATCACTTCTCTATGTTGTACAAGAAGATTGGATATACATTTCAGAAACTTATGAAGTTATCCATAGGCCATGGATGTTATAGTTTCCTCCATGCAATACCTACACACACTGAAAATAAAACAACTACAGGTGCCCAGAACCCCCTACACCTTAAAGAGGGAAAATTATAACTTTATGTAGTCTACTGAAGATAAAGGCTTTTTCAATTCCTGCAGGAAGTGAAAAAAACTCAGGAAGAATTCCCTCCTGGAAAGGGTGTTCAGGCATTGGAAGGGGCTGCCCAGGGAGGTGGTGGAGTTCCCATCCCTGGAGGTGTCCCAGGAATGACTGGACGTGGCACTCAGTGCTCTGGGCTGGGTGACAAGGTGGGGATCAGGCACAGGCTGGACTCAATGATTTGGGAGGGCTTTTGCAACCTCAAGGATTCTCTCATAAAAAGGATCAGACAGAACAATCAAAGAGATTCTGATGTCAGCACTGGTTCAGCCATAATGAACAATATTTGGACCAGGAGGTAAAAATAAAGTTCAGATCAGCTTGGACATCTTCTCTTCCTACTTCTGTCACATTGATTTTTACAAAGGAGTTATTTTCCAATCCTGGCTCCAACAACATCCATGAACCAGTGCTGTACATGAGCAAAAAGCTGCACGTCCCCAGCATTTTTCTGTTCAAAGTTCATTCTTCCTTATGTAAACTTTACAGGGGAAATGGGTAAAAAGAGATATCTACAGATAAATCTCAGGGCAGGATAAATGTATTAGTGGACCACAGAGGGCTTCCTGAAATCTTTTCCAGTGAGAATATTGAACTTGCCAGAATTTCTAACTTCACTGTAAGAAAGAATACAACTTTTACCAGAACAGTTACAAGGAACAGGGAACTAAATAAGGAGATTTATTAAAACTTGTAACTATCACTTTATCCCAGAGAGAGTAAGTGACCACAGCAAGGACAAACCATTTTATGCATAGCTGGGAAAGTGTCCATAAAAAAGAAGGAATCAGAGTCCGTTTTATCACATATACCTCAAAATACTGTGTTTCAGAACCACTGACTTTGCTGTTGTGTATAAGAAATTTTTCAATTTCTTATGTAAATAGTGTGTTCCTCTCCCTGCCAACCACTGTGCAAAACACTTCAGCAAGTAGAGTCCCTGCCTTGACAAAAACACTGGATTAAAACCAAAACACAGTCAAGGAGGACAGCAATGAAATAAGATCATTCTTCTTTACAGTTCAAGTGAGAAGTCATAGAATGCACAGGCATTTCAACATGGGAAACATTTTCAGCACAGCCTGAAACAAGCAGGACCCACAAACACCTGCACTGGGCACAGAAAATATACTGAAAGTTTTCCTTTTCCTTCTGGAGCTGCTTTTTCTTCAGTTTCTTGTCTCAACAACTCACATTTCTGCACATCTCCTTTCTGAACCTCGGGAAGAGGGTTGAGGTGAGGAGGGGATTGCAGAACAAGGCAGGTCTACCTGTCCAGGTTGGGCAGAGGGTGGCACTGCTGGATCCCTACAAACCATCCCAGACACAGCGGAGCAGCACAACCCCACCACCACTGAATTCAGCTGTAAAATCCTCACCAACTTTTACAGAGTCACAGAGACCACATGAGAAGTGTTGCAATGAGCCAATGATGAATTTCAAAGCTTACAGAAACGTATAGAAACCTAATTCCCAGGATCTCCTATTTTCCCCCAACTAATGTAACATACACACATGGGGTCTAGAGCTCTCTTTTTCTCATTCCCACTCTCTCAAAAACCAACAGCTGCCTGTTAATGGGAAACAGGAACATAATACTGCAGTCATACAAACTGTTTTTGCAAGCACTGCACCGCAGCTGTTTTTAAATATTTCAAAAATCTCTATAAAGCATAAAAACATTTTAGTAATAATGTCTATGCACAGCATCTTCTGACCTGCTTTTTTAAGGGTGCTGAGGGCTTCCCAGTCCTGTTGATTTGGGCAAGACACTCCTGGGCATGGAATTTCATTGCACTTGTTTGCCACTGAGTACATTAGATATCATTATTAATAAAGAGTTTGGAGTAAGTGGAACTTACAAAGTAGAGATGTGTATGACTTATACTGAAAAATTTTGCTTTCTAATACTAAAACTTTAACCAAGGCATCCTGAGCTGGGCAAAAGCACAACCTCAAAATCAGGCTCCAAGTCTGCTGGTGGAGTCTCTCCCCTGAGACTCCCAAACTCTAAAGAGTTTCTCCAGATTGTACAGTTTCCCTTGTTTGTACCACAAATACCCCCTCATCCACAGATACTCACGCTGCTCACAGGCAGGTTCCCATCACCAGCCCAAGATCCAGCAGCATTTTCTCCTTCATCTTCACTCGACGGCACTGTAGCTTGTGCACAGTCACAACACACAATCTGAGAGACTTCAGTTTCATAAATACTCCTGATTTTATGCCAGCAATAGAGAAAAGCATTTTTAATAAAAACTCTGCCTTGTGGTTTTTCACAGTGTATTTTCTCATGTGCTGCTGTAAGCAGAGCTCCTGTGCTTACCTGGCACTTAGGGGTTATACCACGTTACAGCCACGCTCGGTAGCTAAGGGCTCTCATTATAAACTCTGTTTATAAATGCTGTATCACTAATTAAGTTTCCAAAGTGCTCTTCTATCAGAGCGGGCTCTCATAGCTCCAGCAGCATCAGGAATCCACAGCCTACGTTCACTGAGATTTATTTTTCTTTTGCTTCAGAATTGAATTTCGAGGAATATACGGAGGGGAAGGGCCGATTCGGGTACGCCGTGCCTGCCTCTGAAATCTCCCGGATTCTGCCAGGGGAAGGCAACGCTCCCCCTCCGGCTGCGGTCAGGGGCAACCTCAGGGGGATGTTTGGAGAAATCAGAAGGGAGAAAAAAGGAGAAGAAAAGTAAATTCGCCTACCTGCTTCTATTCGCTCCCAGAGTCCCGACCGACAGCCGAGGTGACACCAGCACCGCTCCGCTGTCCAGCCCCGACCCCTCAGCCTGCCCGGGCCCCGCTCCCTCAGCCGCCCCGCCCCGCCCGGACGCCCCGCCCGTCCCGCTCCCTCTCACGGCTCCTCACACTCCGCTGAGGGGGCTGGGGGGGGCTCAGCACAGAGAAAAGGAGGGTCTGGGGGCACCTTCTGGCTCTTTGCAACTCCCTGACAGGAGGGTGGAGCCAGGTGGGGGTCGGGCTCTGCTCCCAGGGAACAAGGGACAGGAGAGAGGGAACGACCTCGAGCTGTGCCAGGGGAGGGTCAGGTTGGATATTGCAAAAATTACTGCCCAGGGCAGTGCTGGAGTCCCCGTCCCTGGAGAGATTCAAAAGCCGTGTGGATGTGGCACTTGGGGACATGGGTCAGCGATGGCCTTGGCAGTGCTGGGGGAATGGTTGGACTTGGGTTTGGAGCACCTTTTCAATCTAAACCATTCTGTGATTCCCTGAACACGTGTCCCCTGCAGGGCACAGCCCGAGCCCCTCACAGGGCAGGGACAGGGTAGTGTTTACCCCCGTTTATTTTAATTTCTTACAAACAGCACTTCACTAAACAAAATAAAGTTCAAGCCTTCAAAGAGCTGCCAGGCAGTGACGTAGGACATGCATTTTGGCCTTTCTGTACTTCAGTGTCTGTCCTGATGAACAAAGGGTTGATACATTTAAAGCAATACCACGTATTTAACAGGAACTTGCAATTATAAAACAACACACAAAAGTTATTTCAGGGAACTTAAATTCGAGGACTGAGCCCTGCTAGAAAAGACAGACCCAATGATCTTGCAGGTCTTTCCTAACTTTAATGATTCAATGCACCTTTAATCTTTCTTGTGCTCATCCTTTTGGAAAAGACAACAAGAGTTTAGAACCAGCAAAGCAGAGACTGATTAAGTCCCAGACGGGTGCAACTGATGGCTTTTTTTACAATTTTTTTTTTCAGCAATATTATTTTTAAAAAATTGCAAAACCAGTATCTCTGCTTCATGAGGTATGAAGAAAAATATTTATATTTACCTACTGCAAGCTCTTCTCAAGCAACAAGACTGGAACTATTTTCTGAATAGTGTAAACAGTTCTTTCAAGGCTGTAGGAACAAAACCACTGATTGGCTTTAATTTATTTATTGACTTTCCGTAATTCATGATCCATTTCCTCAAAACAGCATCAGCCAATTTCGTTCCTTATTAAAATGACCACCAGCTCTTAATTGTTAAATTCTATTTTTAAAACGTATTTGTGTTCTAATACCTCAGTTTGGGAAATGTGACCACATACAACTTGTGCCTGAGGTTAGGAAACCACTGAAGTTTTTGTGTCCCAGACTTTCACAGCATAAGCAAAAGCTGTCAAAATCTACCACTAAAAACTCCTTTTTATTTAGGTTAGAACATTTTCAGACAAACATTTCACAGAGCAAGTTTTCTTTCACTTCCCCATGTACCACTGGTGTTCAGTGAACCAGAAAAAAAATCCCCTACGCAACTTCCACTAATGCATATTTATTTATTTTTAAAGGGTTTTCTCCTCCCTTAATATCTAAACTAAATCTTCCTGAAGTTTAATCCTCTTACCTTTCATAAACATAAGCAGACAGGTAATTCCTCTTTTCAGAATTCTTTTACATCTTACATTGTTGTCTCATACCAATCATTCTTTGTGTAAACTTAAGTTCCAGTTCTTCCTGTCTTTATAGATCATCTTTTCTGGAGATCTACTAAGGCTGATCTTCTCACTCTTCTACAACTCCCTGACAGGAGGGTGGAGCCAGGTGGGGGTGTAAGTGTATTCATTTAATAAAGATAATCCACCTTTCTGATTTAGAGCAGGATTAGTTCCTCCCCCATATTCAGAAGTTCTCTATGGACTCATTTCATTAAAGAACAAAAGGTTTAAGTGTTGCTTTGGCTGGAGAAACTCTTCAGAGCATGTACCTTTACCTTCCAGGACAGAATCACTTCTTGTTAAGTGTCCAAACCTTGTTGACAGGGATTCACTCACCTTAGAGGCACAAAGGAATGAATTCCATCATTTAACAGCAGAGGTGCTGCAGCAAAACAGGGTTATCAAAACATTGACTCATTTTCTGTCATCATCAAGAGAGATCTTTGAACAAGGTATAATATGAGATCTCCTTTTTCTGCCCTTGGGGTTAAATTTAATATTAATGAAAAACCTGCCTCATACTGTAGAACTGTATTAACCTTAAACCATTTCTCCAGTGAACTTCCTGGTTTAGATACTTTCCCAATTTGCTATGAGGGGATGCTCCCTCTCCCAAAAGGCATGCAGGGATCATAGAATCGTGGAATGGCTTGGGCGGGAAGAACCTTAAAGCCCATCTCATTCCATCCCCTGCCATGGGCAGGGACACTTTCCACTCACCCAGGTTACTCCAAGCCCAGTCCAACCTGGCCTTGGACACTCCCAGGGATGGGGCAGCCACAGCTGCTCTGGGCAACCTGTGCCAGGGCCTCCCCACCCTCACAGCCAAATTCTTTCCCAATATCTCATCTAAACCTTCTTTCTTTCAGTGTGAAGCCAATCCCCCTCATCCTGTCACTCCAGGCCCTTGTCAAAACTACTCATCTTCTAAGTAACCAACACAAGTTTATGCCACAGTAAGCCCAGGGAAGTTTTCCAAATGGAAAGGATGAGCAGAAAAAGCATAAAACCTTGATATTCATAAGATATGACTCTTCATTTATGCAGATCTGTAACTACTTTATAATCAAAGCATAATTTGAGAAGGCAGAACTGCCACCCCCGAGAACAGCACTGGGCTGGGAGCTCCACAGCACCTGCTCATGGAGTGGGAGGAAGGAAGAAAGGGAGGAAAAGTTAGTGGCACTGAACACTCTTGGCTTTCCAGGTGTTCCAAGGAACACTTCTCTCCTGTTCAGCTGCACCAGTGGAATAGGCAGAAGGAAAATCTAATATTTTGTAACGTATTCCTAATTCTTTTTATGGTTAGATAGCTCTAGCTGTTAGAAACAAGCTGGGAAAGGAGGCAGAAGGGAATGATCTAGAGAAACTTAATTACAAGGGATTTTCATCCCTTTTTAAGCCTTCTCATGGCTGCAGGAGAGGTCCCAGGTAATTAGTGTTGTCACCATTAGTGAGGCCTATTTCCCAAGGGCCGAAGTGCAGTTTGGCAAGAAGAAGATGCTGAGTGCATTCAAGGGGGAAATTGCAGCAAAAATACAAGTTGGGCAAAAAAAAAGTGGTCCTTCAACAAGCAGGCTCTGTAGTTAAACTTCCATTTTGACATATCTATTTACTGGGCTTTTAAATAAAAACATCAGTTACTATAGTAACATTTACATCAGAGGTTGTACTTCTGCCGCCTCTGAGGTACAGAAAACCAATCTGCTCTGTTCACCTTTGTACTTCACTCCTGCAATATTTTAAATGACATCTCTGTTTTCTAATGAACTTTTTTTTTCCCCTAAGTATTTTCCTTCTCAGCTTAGAAAATAAAGCACATTTGATCTAGTTTGCTTTTAAATGACTAAGCCCTGTGTGTGGGAACATGACTCCTGGTTCCAGGGAGAACAAGAAGAATGGATGCAAAATAGAACACTGCAGTATGGGGAATCCTCCCCATCCCTGGAAGTGTCCAAGGCCAGGCTGGATGGGGCTTGGAGCAACCAGGTCTAGTGGAAGGTGTCCCTGCCCACGCCAGGGGGTGGAACTGGATGGCTTTAAGGTTCCTTCCAACCCAAACCATTCTGCAAGTCTACAAAACAAGACAAATTTTGCTTTTCTAGTCCTGCTGTAACTTAGTTCTTTCTTGTAGCAATCATGGTAAAATGACAGATTATTATTACTTCCTTGGACAAACAGTCCCCTCCACACCTTTTATTTTAGCCTGTTAGAATGGCAAAGCATCAGAGCCCATTCCAAGCTCTCTTCTGCTGCCCTTTCAATTTTTTTTTCCAGTCTCTTATCAGCAGATTTGTTATCAAGTGCTTCTGTATCTCTGCTTTATTTCCACCTCCTTTGTTTACTTTATGAACCCTACAGTGAGTACACAAGACAGAGCTCCTGAGCTTGCAGAGCCCTGGTTTAGAGCTGTAAGACCTACCACGCTTCCCATGAGGTTTTCACGGCTGAACTCTGTTCTTACTCTAAGGAAGGCAAGTATTTACACAGCAAAACGTGACCCTCTTGGGCAGATGAGGAAATGAAAACACCCAGGGTTCTCAATTCCACTAAACTGAGATCATGCCTGGACCTCACAGGAATTACAGCTGGAAAATACAGGGAGCAGAGGATAACAAAGAGTGAAGGTAATTCAGACACCTCTCCAGTGGGTTGACTTGCTTTTTCTTTCTATTTTTCCACCTGATGAACACACATTTGTATTAGATTGTAGTGAAAACCTTCATGGATGGGACTGTGGCACAGCCCAAATGCTGCTGGTCATGTGAAGTTATTCTTTGCTGATGTCATAACCATGAGAAAACCAGGATTTGCTTTTAATTCCAAAGAAAAGCATTGTTTAGTCTGTTATCCCCACAGTCCCTACCAGGATGAGAGCACCACTCAAACACATCTCAGTGAGAAGAAAGTAAACAACACTACATTTTCCCCAAAGGGGGTGGTGGTGGAAATCTATTTCCAGAAGCACTTTCTAAAACCTGGCACCAATCTGAGTTTCTCAAGTGTGTCATCGAGCCCAGAAGAGATGAATTCACAGAACAGAACTGGCAAGAGAGATAAATGGGGGAGAAAATGAGAAGGTATTTTGAATAAATGCCTTCAAGAAAAAAAAAAAAGGTAGCTAGGCCTTTTAGCAACTTAGATGTTTCTAAACCTGGCAGAAGTTCAGCTTGTGACATTCACACACTCAGAGAAAAAAATAGCCAATAAAATGGTGTAATTCAAACTTTTGTGCTTTTGGCTATGGAAACGGGATTTTACTTCAAGGGTTTATATATCAGTGATGAGT